CCATACCTATTTTTCACATATGATGTATTGATGATATTTTCCATTTCTTGACTTGCACAGTGAGATTTTCCCATATCTTGTGATTGTGGTTGGTGTTGAGAACATCCTGGTGATAACAAAGTCTGTTGTTTCAACTCCAGTGGACTTGGAGGTCAAGATAAGAGTGGCTCAAGGTATTAAGTCATGTCCAAAGAGCAAAACTTCATATCCAAGATTTTATGATCGATTTGATACAATCTTGAGTCTCAAATTTCTTGGGAAAGACCATGAATGTTTCATGATGCAAAAAAATTACATCAATCAAGAAATAATGCTATTCATTGTTGTTAGAAGAAGGTGAAAAAAGGAGGAAAATCTGAGTTTCCAATGAGGAATCAAACCAGGTGGGCAAGTCCGTCCTCACAGCCGGTCAATTTTCCCAGTGCCCGGCCCTATTGGTGAATAGAAGTATAGTGAGTTTTGTGGTCAGCCCACCCTTATATTTGTCTCAAGCGATAAACACAGATATGTGACAAAAGTCCTGTACACTACTGATCCTAATAGTATGCCAGGGGCTTGTTGCCAGGGGCTTGTTGCCAGGGGCTTGTTGCATATAAACTTAGTAATGGACTTGTGTGTGTGTTTGTCAGTCATCCAACGTTTTCATATTTTTATCACTTTGCAGGGCTTAGCAGAGAAGGCTGGTATATTGTAAAAAATCTTTTAACAGAGATGATCATTTTGTGTACTGGCTTTTTCACCTTTGTCCCGGCTGTGCAGGTACCAGCTTTTTCAATTTTCTTTCAAATTTGCTCACTTTGTGTATGTATCTCTATCTCTCTTTTCATTTGTCCAGTTATCTCCTCAAATTCCCTTTTTTTTTTTGCTCTGACTTGTTACGATCGTTGGTAGAGAACAGAACAAGAGAGACGAGTGCCCGTGAAAAATGGCAAGAGTAACGAGTGCCAAAATTAACAAATTGAATCTTCTTGTTCTGTATGCTTTTTCTTTGTGATTTCAGGAGTTTTGTTTTTTTGCCATGGTATGCCTGCTGTCAGACTTCTTTCTTCAGATGGTTCTGTTTGTTACAGTTCTTTCCATAGACATCAGGAGAATGGAGGTACATTCAGGATGCACTGCTTACATTTCTACGTTTGTTCTACATACACCCCCCCCCTCCCTCTAAAATTACGTTGTCTCGGTTGAAACAAAACTTACCTCAATGAAAATCTGTTAAATTGTCAAATGACAAGTGCATTTCGGTGTGCTGTTTTGAATATCTTGGCAGTTGAGAATTTAGATGCTATATAACGGTTCATTTTTGTATCTGTTTCGCTAGCTTTCGGATCTTCAGAGGCAGCCAGTACAGGTCAGGCAAAGGAGTCTGTCAGATGGATCGCACCAGGGTAAGTTATTTAAACCAGAATTTAAAAGAACGAAAAATAAAAACAAAAGTGTAAATAGGTCATTGAATAATGGAATTCGATAGCTTTTAGTGGCTTTTCTACCATGGTATATGAAGTGGCAGTCGCATCCATATGATTATGTTAAGGGTCAAATTTTTTCTTGGTTGAGACACTTTTAAATCATATGATTCTAAATAATTTAGAATCGGTCTAAATCATATCAATATTTGTTTATTCTGATATTTTCTTTTCTTTCATCCTCTGACGTCAGCACAAACTCCTCCGTCACCAGTGCCAGGCTCCCCTCAATCTGCACAACGAGTGCAGTTTTTTGGTTTGTTACCTCCCCTGCCGCAGTCGTCAGTGAATAATCAGGGTGACACCCCAAGGAAGTGCCCTGTCTTCTCTAGGAGATTACCCAAGAGGCTTAATTTTGCATACTTTTGGGCAAGAACGAGAATAGTACAGAAAGCGTGTATGGTAAGACAAACGGGTTGTACTATTTTAACTGCTTAGCGAGCTGCAGAAGTGGGCAGAAGTAGGACTCCGAGATGAACATGAATTTTGTGTTTAAAAAAGTTTAAACATTTCTCTTTTGTGCGTGTAGCAATCTTCCAAAATTCCAAATATTCCTTCCTGCTTTAAAGACAAACATTTATACGCATAAATCGTTAAAGTTTTTCTTAGTTTGTAAAAAGTAGTTTTCTTAATCCTTCTGTTTTATCTAACCCCCATACGTGTAGGTATGCTTTATTTGCTACTTTGTGTACATCTTGAAGTCTCCGGGATCAGAATCAGTGGATACCTCCCGAGATGCCCAAACGTCAGTCAATTCAGACAAATATATAAACATCAACGATTCATGGTTAGATTACAAAGAAAGCAAGACAAGATTCCTCGAGGGAGTGGACGAGAGTGGTAATTTGTCAGGATGGAAAGGCAACGGAAAGAAAAGACCAGGGTTTTCTTTTAAGTCTCCATCAGTAGAGTTATGGAGAGGTCTTTATCAACGGCATTGGCCTCAGGTGTTAAGTTACTACAACATAAGTCTCCTAGGCAGGTAAAGATAGATTTTAACTTCATAAAACAGATTTGGTATGCAGTGGTGAGAGTGCATGTGCGTCCCACCGCTTTTGCTTGGGTCTGTTCCCCGGACCCTGCGTTACATGAAGGTTTAGTTTGTTTTTTCCTCTTTCTTACTCCAAGGGTTTTCTCTGGGTTCTTCAGATTTCCTCACTCCACAAAAACCGACAAACTAAATCAAAATTCGACCTGGAAGCTGTAGCCGAGGAGAGTCACTTCATGAATATGCAACAGCCAAATTCAACTCTATTTCTCTTTTCAATTATCATCTGGCCCAGAAAATACTGATTTAAGACGTTTTTTCTTGACTGCAAAACAATGAAAAGTCTTAACTTCCCCGAGAGGAATCGAACCCTTAACCTTCCGTTAGGATTGTTTCGCCAAGAGTTCAAAATTTACTTTCTTTTTATTCTGTTTACGTGTGATCGTGACCGTAACCACAGTGATGTAAGATGTTGGGTAGGGAAATTAGTCTAAACAAGAACCTCGACCCCTTTGATGAAAAAAAAATCGAGGGTTTGTGATCTATGAAATGCCGTGATTAGATTAGACTAGAATAAAATTGAATTGAATTACTTAACTTAGCATAGCGGGGTTTCACACACCATTATGTGACCGCAAAAACAATCTAACTCGTTACTTACTTGTGTTCTGTTTAGGTATGTGACAGTCTTACCGCACGTTCATTTGGGCGTGAACATCGATACGGACATTTTTGTTACTGACCTGACTATGGAAGGTGACCCACTGTCAGCTGGCAGTCAAAGCTTCTCATCAGTAGATGGGACAGGAAAACTCCATCAATCTTTCGACGGAGCACAGGAGACACCCCCCGGAAATTCCGCGGGAGGCTCCGTAGCTGATGAGGACATTCGAGATGCGAGGTATTACCACAACGCTCTTTCGTGTATGGTACTTGGTGTAGTCGTCATGATAATTCTCTTCTTTGTGTGTAAATTTCTGAATGATCTTCAAGTCAACCCCAGTTCACGACAAGGGAGGAGAGGGAGAGGCCACCAATGTGATGCACTGGTGGAGTGCGTTCCCATCACTCTTAGAGGGCACACACAGGTATGTGGAGCGTGCAAACATGGCGTTCCTCTCTGTTATTGTGGTATGGTAGAATGAAACCACTAGAAGACTCGGTTCAAACGCCGACTCATTTGCGAGCGGATATTAATCTAATACTTGCGAACTGCGGAGCACGACGGCCAATGCCTTGGGCTTAATCCGAGCGAACCAAAAATGCCTCTAAAAAAAAATTAAATTATTAAAATTAATTATTAAATTTTTATTAATTGAAAATTAAAATTATTAATTTAAGACGAATTTCGTCAAAATATCAATCATTTTCTATATTACCGTAATCATTTTTGTATCATTATTACCATTAATGTTGTCGTTATCGTAATTTTTGTCATCGTCGTTAACTTATTGCGATCTTCATCCTTTTCCTCATCCTCTTCGCAATCATCATTGAAACTTTCTCTTGGTCCTCATCAATGTTACTTTCTCTTTTTATGGTTTGGCTGTAGAACGTGGAGCATTTAAAATGCACAGTATCATCCATCGTCAGTGTTTGTCTAAGTGGCCAGATATGTGTTTGGGACATCGCTACCGGTGATTGTTTAAGAGTTATGAACAGAAGGAGGTCAGTTTACTTTGAAACTTTCACTTTGAACTCTTTTTCGAAGAAAAAGGAATTTGGAGGGAAAAAAAAAAACACGGCGGCCAGACATTGTTTCATCAGACACCATTCACACCAAATCCTCAGAGCTAAAATTGTAAGAAATGTATGGAACACATTAAAGCGAACTTATTTTGAGATCTTGGTAGTAAAAGGGGTAATGCGGTTAAGAGACTTCGTTTCTCCTTGTGCGTGGTGAGCAAGGCCCATTACAAAGTTCATATATGACATGCATAGGCCATTGCAGAAACGTGAGAGGACTGGGACGAGTTCCTTATATTGATTACATTTAAAATCTAAACATTTCAACTGAATTTTTACTGAATGAAAAGCTACCCAGCTAAGTTTGAGAGTTTTCAGCGGAAAAGTGTCCAAATTGGAGCCTTGCAAAAGTTGCAAAAATTCCATACAAACCCTTAAAATCTTTTGCCCTGTCTACCCATGTACCCAATCCATACAAACTCTCTATTTTGGGTGATATTTGAAAAGCTGTCATTTTGCCATTTTCCTCCTCTAAATACTTCTATTCTTGCTTAAGACTCTCAAATTTAGTTGATCTTTCATTTGAATGTCTTAGTTTTTCAAACAAACGGAAAACAACCACACTCTTTCCCAGTCCTCTCACGTTTCTGCAATGGCCAAAAGAGTCTCGGTGGCTCAGTGATGAATTTCTTGG